AATCCCCTATCTAGGAAACCCTATCATCTCAGCCCAAATACTTCTTAAGCTGATAAACAACTTCAGCAAAGTCTCAGAATACAAAATCAATGTGCAAAAAATCACAAGCATTCCTATACACCAGTGACAGACAAGCAGAGGGCCAAATCATGAAAGAATACCCATTCAGAATTGCTACAAAAAGAATAAAACACCTAGGAATAAAGCTAACAAGGGAAGTGAAACACCTCTTCAAGAACTACAAACCACTGCTCAAAGAAATCAGAGAGGACACAAACAAATGGAAAAACTTCTATGCTCATGGATTGGAAGAATCAATATTATGAAACTGTCCATATGCTTAAAGTAATTTATAGATTCAATGCTATTCCCACTAAACTACCATTGACATTCTTCACAAAATTAGAAAAAAAAAAAAAACTTTAGAATTCATGTGGAAGCAAAAAAGAACCCATATAACCAAGACAATCCTAAGCAAAAAGAACAAAGCCAGAAGCATCATGCTACCCAACTTCAAACTATATTACAAGGCTACAGTAACCAAAACAGTATGGTACTGGTAGAAAAACAGACACACAGACCAATGGAACATAATAACGACCTCAGAAACAAGAACACATATCTACAACCATCTAATCTTCAACCAACCTGACAAAAACAAGCAATGGGGAAAGGATTTCCTATTTAATAAATGGTTCCAGGAAAACTGGTTAGCCATATTCAGAAAACTGAAACTGGGCCTTTTTTTAATACCTTATATAAAAACTAACCCAAGATGGATTAAAGACTTAAATGTAAAACTCAAGACTATAAAAAGGCTAGAAAAAACTCTGGGCAATATCATTCAGGATATCGGCATGGGCAAAGATTTCATTATGAAAACATCAAAAGCAATGGCAACAAAAGCAAAAATTGACAAATGGGATCTAATTAAACTAAAGAGTTTATGCACAGCAAAAGACACTATCATCAGAGTGAACAAAGAACCTACAGAATGGGAGAAAATTATTGCAATCTATCCATCTGACAAAGGTCTAATATCTAGAATCTACAAGGAACTTAAACAAATTTACAGGAAAAAACAACCCCATTTAAAAGTGGGCAAAGGATATGAACAGACACTTCTCAAAAGAAGACATTTATGTGACCAACAAGCATATGAAAAAAAGCTCAACATCATTGATCATTAGAGAAATACAAATTAAAATCACAATGAGGTACCATCTCACACCAGTTAGGATGGCAGTTATTAAAATGTCAAGAAACAACAGATGCTAGTGAGGCTGTGGAGAAACAGGAATGCTTTTACACTGTTGGTGGGAATGTAAATTAGTTCAACCACTGTGAAAGACAGTGCGGAAATTCCTCAAAGACCTAGAACTAGAAATACCATTTGACCCAGCAATCCCATTACTGGGTGTATACACCCAAGGAAGAAAAATCATTCTATTATAAAGATTATAAAGATACAGGCACACTTATGTTCATTGCAGCACTATAGACAACAGCAAAGAGATGGAATCAACCCAAATACCCATCAATGATAGACTAAATAAAGAAAATGTGGTACATATATACCATGGAATACTATGCAGCCATATAAGGGAATAAGACCATGTCCTTTGCATGAACATGGATGGAGCTGGAAGCCATCATCCTCAGCAAACATACACAGTAACAAAAAACCAAATACCGCATGCTCTCACTTATAAGTGGGAGCTGAACAATGAGAACACAAGGACACAGGGAGGAGAACAACACACACTGGGGCCTGTCAAGGGGGTAGGGGGAAGTAGAGCATCAGAATAAATGGCTAATGTGTACGGGGCTTAATACCTAGGTGATGTTGATAGGTGCAACAAACTACCATGGCACACATTTGCCTACATAACAAACCTGCACATCCTGCACATTTATCCCAAAACTTAAAATATAATTAAATTTTCAGAAAAATGTCCCTATTTTTTTAAGAGAGTGAAATTTAAAGGAAATCCTGGGATACTGATGATCCCCTGACACAGTCATTAATTTCCAGTCTGTGTACTTACATGCTCTGGGCCTCTTCCTGTTGTCTGTCATCTGCTACATGTCAAAACTTGTTATTTAATCAGCGCTAACATATCCCTTCTAGCCATGTAACTGAATTCTAGATTTGACTTGGTCACAGTTTTTGGAAAGATTTCTCTTTGTTCTCTCTCTACAGTCTTTATTTAAGCTATCTTAGAAATTATCCTCTTGGTTTGACAATAACATCAACTCTATATATGTTCTGTATGATAAAAATAAGACCTGGTGAAAGAAATTGAGATTATTTTCACCCAAAGACCTAGATTTGAGTGTTGGTTTTGCCACCTATTAAATCCTAGACATGTTTTCTAACATCTGCAAGCCTTGGTTTTCTTACTAGTAACGGAGAAAAAAGCTAAACTCACAAAATTGAGAAGATTAAAGGAGAGTATACAAAAATCAACTTAAAGTATTACACAAATGTAAATAAATATGTGTATGGAACTATGTAAATATATATGCAAATACATATTATCATTTAGTTTTGTCAAAAGTGAAAGAAACATGGAAATCAGGAATATCAATATTGCAAACCTAGAAAGACAAAAGTGCAAACTTTTCAGGGCTCAACTTAAAAGTTTCTAGGGTACAAACACTTGTGTTAATGGAAGGCCATGGTATAACAGGACACAGAGGCTCGCCTGCTGGAGAGCTTTTATGAGCTGGCAGCACAGCATAAGAGAACAGATGATTCAGATCCTCTTCTTGAGAGGTCAAAATTATGTATTAATAGAATGTGTGCTGTGACTGTTTTCCTTGATACAAATGTAAGGTAATAATCTCAGAATTTCAGATCTAATTGCTTTGTTTTGGATTCTTGTCATCTAAATTTAATCCTAAAAAATGCATGCTTAATTGGGTGATTCTTCATTGTATTGCTTTTTATTTTTTAATCTACACACTACGGGTTAGAGTGTATCATTAGAAGTTATATTAAATATTTTGATTTTTCATATAAGATGTTCATGTAAAATGTATCTTCTGAAAAAAAAAAAATGAGGATATTCTAAAGCCTTACTACGCCAAGTGTAGCCTATGATCCAGCAACAGCAGCATCACCTTGGAGCCTGCTAAAAATGCAGAATCTCAGGCTCTATCCTAGACCCTTAAATCACAATCTGTGAAGAATCCCAAATGATTTATATATGCTTCAAGTTTGAAAAGAACGAGTTTTGATCATCTAATAGTTAGGTTTAGTTCAGTTGTTATATCATTTGATCTACCCAACAATATTGACTTTCTCTATAACTCCAACAGAGACTAGGAATTTTCTCCTTTTGGCACTTATACTTTTTTTTTTAGGTCCATATCATGGAATGTGAAGCCATTTGTGGTTGGGTCCCCACTACCTCACCAAGCCTCTGTTATATTCCTTTTTATCTTCCTCCTACCTCCCAAGCTATGTTCCAGATGTGCTAGAATACTCAAAGTTTACAATAATAAACTAAGTGTACACTATGTAGGGTCCCAGTTGGGTACTCAGTCTGACTACAGCATTGCTCAAATATTAAATATGGTGATGCTAGGAAGACTTTTAGCCAGGAAGATGTTGAAAAAAACAGGTAAAAGTGGAAAATATTTATGGCTTCATTAAGATTGGCCTGAGGCACCATGGAACATTTTCTCTCTCTTAATCTTTTTTCATTATGTAATCTGTTCGTGGAATTCCTAATTCTGCATGACATACCATATGGGTAAATGGGTTTTGCTTATGGATATAAAGACGGAAATTCAATTTAAATTCAAGGACAAATAAAGGGAGGAGAAATAGAATTCCACAGAATAGAATGGTAATTCCTCAGAGGATATGAGACATATAATAGGAACTCTAGATTTCAATACCTTAAAAAAGGTTTTGGGGTACAAAGGGATAAGAAAACAGTTATGGACATTTGGACAAGATTGAACCCCAGAGACTATCATTTGGATTGATAAGGAATCTGGGCTCTTTCCTTAGTATACAAAGCAGCTCTTTCAAAAATTTTTGCCATATGAAGTGAGTGCTTGTATCGTATTTTAATTTTAAAAGTGAAATAATACTCAAAGTAATAATTTTAAAGCATTTTAAGAAGAAAAACACTCAGAGCTATATTGCTAAAAATATAACCTTTAAGATATCACAGAAACCAGGATACCACAACATTATTAAAGCCCCAACAATCTGACTTGAAAATATTTTACCATTGGTAATCACAAAGCAGTTTGGATTCTGAAGCTTTCAAGTGCAAAAAAAAAGTGTTTTTCAAATTGCAAATTAGTATAAACAAATAAAAAGAATGACCAAGGATGACTACACATGCCTAAGTGTGAATTCACTATAATTAAGAAAACTCAAAGCATGTAAAGAATTCTACTTTTTGAAGCATCAATTATACTGTAAACTGAAATAGAGAGTATTTGCCATTGAAGAAGTTATTTCAGTCCTCTGAGTCTCAATTTTCCCTTTTGTTTAATGCTGATTACTAATCCCCACTTTGCCTAGCATAATTCATAGGAGCTCATGGCACAATGGTTCTTCTTTCTGACCAACAGTCTAATGCAGACTTTTTCCTCTAATTTTTGAAAAGTCTTGCAAAGGCACACAAATAAAATATATTTATCAAAGCGTGTAAGGAATTATCTTTATGAATAAGCATAACATTATATAAAGTAGATCCTCAGAAAAACCAGGAGAGTTAATTACAGTTACTCTAGTCTGTAAAGTCAAAAAATTGATCCATAACTGACTGAAACTGTTTGATATCATTAGGTGCAAGACCTTAAATTAAATGCAGGCTTTTCTATTGGGCAAAGTCAAGATTTTTGAGTACTCAAAAGGTTATAACATGTGTAAGGTCTTCCACTTACTTATTCCTTATAATCATAATTGTATGAGTGTGCAGGAATTTGATTAGCACGTTCATGTAATTGATTTCTAACTAGAAGAAAAAACTAGAAATAAAACCTCTATCTTCCCCCAAGCACATAATTGAAGAGGCAGCTTCCAACGGCTGCTGTTTTCAGTCCTGACAGGAAGGAAACGCTGAGGGAATCCATTTCCTGTAGCTTCTATGGGCAGTCTCCACAGCCATTATGGAAGTTTCTACCCCTCTTGCTATTAGATGTTTTAAAATGTCATAGATACGCTTTCTTATTATTTTAAAAGACAAAAATAAAAGACATGGATTAGAGGAAAACGAGCATGTCTCTCAGGTGGCTGGAGAAACACGCTTGTTTTTAAGTCTTAATTCAAAGGCACAATTCATTTTTTTATTCTGAAATAATTTCAAAGCTAGAGAAATGTAAGAATTATACAAAATACTTTTGTACCTTTCACCCAGATTCACTAATTGTTAACATTGCCATGTGTGTTTCATCTCTCTATATATATTTATATGGACATATATGTACATATAAAAAAATTCTGAACCATTTGAGGATAAGTTTTAGACATTGCATCTCTTTACTCCTTTAATATGCCAGTGTGTGCCTCTTCAGAAAAGAATATTTTCTTACGTGGCTCCAGTATAATGAACAATTTTAGAAAATTTGACCTTGTTGTTATTACCTAATCCACAATTCACATTCAAATTTCACCAATTATTCAGCCACATCGGCTTTTAATCAGCAGTCAACAAATCACCTGGACATTCCATTTTCTTTAAGAAACAGTGGACAATTGGAAGTTGCAAATATCCATTTTATTTTCCAGAATCCACTAGGTACCAACATAGAGATGTTACTAATTTATTGAGCAAACATGATAGAATATCCTTTGTTGTCCACATAGAAAAAAAAATTCTGAACTAAGGTAAATAGCTACCTACTAGAAATGGGTTAACTAGGAAAATATATAAATAAAAGGCAGAACTAATATTTAATTAATTCTTTTACTATATGATAATCATAGAAAAGTGGAAAGGCCCTTTTTCTCTTGAAGACTCTTTGAATAAATTCAAATACATTTAGACTCTGTAGAATTCTAATTCAGGAACTCATAAATTTAACTAATCTAATGTGATATTTCAAAGTTTAACAGTCTGAAGATCTGCCAGTAGCACAACAAAGGCCAAAGAACCACAAGCAAAGAGCACATTGGTTTGGTTTGATTTGGATTTTTCTTAAAATTTCAGTAAAATACTTGGGGAAAAGACTTCCTTCTCCTGAAGCTTTCTTAGGACTTAACCTGAAAGCTAGCCTTCATGCCATGGCAATTCATAATGAGATCACCAACAAGGGAGGAGTGGGATTAACAATTCAGTCAATAAGGATGCTGCTACGAGCAATCTATTTGAAAACCCACAATATTCTTTATACGGCAGTACAGATTGTTCAGACTTCTTGGTCAAAGGTCTAATGTTAAGGCTTATCCCAGACAACTGTACAAAATGCAGACATCATGGCCACTTCCTTGAACAGGAGACTTGTGGAACAGGACATTCTACCAACTTTCAGGAGAAAAATGGACAATATTTGACTTTGTAAATGCATAAATGCGATGTTTAATTAATTCTCTTAAGTTAGAACATTCTAGTCAAACCAATATAATTCTAAATTGTAACCTAATTACAATGGTGCTGGGATGAAAATAGCTCTTTAAGTGCCAAATATTTAAAATCTCAGTTTCTTATTTATTTGCTTGGATAAAATGTTTTATTTCTATTTAAACTTTCAGACTTTCAGTCACTAAAATATCAAGCTTATTCATATGTACAATGAAATCTCTTCTGTTAATAAAAAAGTATATCTACTGATTATATCACAACTATATTATGCAATATGTAAGTTACAAAACTTTATAAAGCATATATGCCCAGTAATTATTCATATCTAAGAAATTTACCATTGCAATTACTATTGCACTTAAAACTGCAAATATATTTAAAAGCTTTTTTTCCTACCAATTCAAAATTTAAAAAGTAATTTTTAAAGATAGATATCTAGGCCCTCTCCTTAAAAAAATTTTTGTGTGTAATTTAGGCAGTTTTTAAAAATTTAATAAGAAATTTTTTCTTATATATTTCTAACTTAATTTAAATAATTAGATTTTTTTCTTTAATTTAAAGATCACCTAAAAAAACTAATAGTTGGGAATTATGCAAACAATATTTATAATCTTTAACTACACCTGTGTGGCCATATAAAGTTTTCTATTAATTTTGGACTATTACATTATGTATATCTTTATTAAAATCATTTTGTTTTTAAGAAAAGTACATTTAGCTAAGTTACAGATAAAGATAACAATTTAAATGGGCTTGGCAAAATGCAATATAATGTTCATTCTGTAGATAAGAAATTTTAAATAAAGCAAAATAACAAAATGTCAAAACCAAACCAAATGGTGATGCATCATTTGTGCATCACATTCCCCTAAATAATGTGGGAAAGAGAAGAAATGTAATACAGTGCATAAATCTTAATGCATGGCTCATTCTTAGCTTTAATCTTTTAGCATAATTAGGCCAAGTTTTAATTTTTTTAAAAAAAATCTATCTTGAAATGTATTACCCGCTGATGCTGTTACCAGCAATTCTCTTTAGTGTCTAAAATATACTGTACTGGAAACAGCATCTCCCAACAGCCCAATCTATGCCCTTCCTGACCAACTCATTCAACCACTCATACCTTTGTGATATTTGATCCCCAAGTCAAAGTTACAAAAATAATGGTCAACTAGAAAAAAATCTAAAACTCTTTAGGATAGTTTTTGAAAACATGCCAAGAGCTACTGAACACAAACGAAGTTTTTTAGTTTTTATACACAATAGAAAACCATTACAGATCCAATAAGAGTCAGAGACATCCTTTATTTTCTGTTGTTTAAAAGCTTTACTGCATCTCTAATGAAGGGAACGGCTACTTTAACACTAATTTGATGTCTATTTGCATGGAGCAGGATTGAGGGCACTCACTAAGAAGAATGAAACGTAAGTGCTACATTCTCCGGTTTTACTTCCACAGATTTTAAATTCCCATGTTTTCCTTCTGCTATTCAAATCTGTATCACTTTAAAGCATCGGGGTAGGGGCTGACTCTACTACAAGCTAGAGTAGTTTACAAGTAAACATTATAAATAAAACAAGGTGAGTTCTCTGCTTTCTAAACTACTTAAGCTGCCCTGACCCGTTCTTTTCCCCAAAAGTACCTGCTATTTTGAGCAAACTGATGTCAACTATTTGTTTGTTTTCTGACTCATAAAATAAATAATTTCTAATCTAGATGATCATGACTCTGCTGTGCATTTTTCTGCAGACTGAAGATCTTTATATTTTGTTTTTGTTTTCAAAAGTATAAAAATCATAAATGTGGACAACTTTGCCAGGTCACCATTTAAGGAGGGAAAAAATAATGAGACTGTTCTACTCCTCTTGGACTCCAAAACAGGTTTAAGTTTGTATTAATTCCATCAAAGTGTTCATCAACATTACATACCAGAATCTGACAACTTGCTTTAGAATTCCAACTCTAATATGGAAAAGATCTCAAAAGAGAGATCTTAATCTTTTCCAGTCTCTTTTACCTCATTCATACATAATACTTGGCTCACACTGTTATGAAAATGAAATTTAAGATAATGTATTACTTTTGCTGTACGTAAGAGTACTTGACCACGCTTTTGGCCACAGGTACCAAATTCCTAACTCACAACATCTTGAACTTACATAACAAGGAGCCTGAAGGTAGGTGGTGACACACATAAGCTCAGTGACTCAGCACTATCAAGGCCACATCTCTGTTAGTTTCTTGGCCTTTTTCTCATGTCTCTAAACTTGTGGTCACAAGATGGCTGCCTTATTTTCAATCATCCCATCAGTGTTCTCTAGCTAGTCTCCTCCTAGATCTCATTAGCTGGAACTGCATCACGTACTTAGCTTTAAGAGAAACTAGAAAAATTCGTATTTATTGCACTTTTGTAGCTTCTATAGTGAATGTGCCTAAGGGAGGGGACGGTGGGAATGGGTGTTGGAAAAAAATAACCAACAACATCTGCCATATTTCCTTTGAAAAGCTTTGAACAGTGTGTTCAATAATGTTATTAAATTCTCTTGTAACAAAATATTTTTTTTTTTTACTCTACATCGTGCACATTTATGCCTCTCCTGAGGCTGCTGACTTTATCAACTTCCATAAGTGTCTCTAACCCCGGTCTCAGCAGCAAGAGATAGCATGTGGTTTTGTTTTCTCACAAAAGCTGATTAGTCTGCCTTCTGTGAAACCTGGCACAGGCATCAAAAATATAGAGGAAGCACATCCCACAATTACCCTATGAAAGGTAAAAACAAACATACACAATTATTGTATTAAAAGCAATTTAACATTTTAATTTGATAATTTTGTTAATAAATAATGTACATACGGCATTTCCTTTAAATAACTATTCTATAATTAGTTGAATGTGGCAAGATGTCCTGCCTGAGTCTGCAAAACCTGATTCCCTGCCTCACACGTTGCTTCGGCTAGGTCATGCATGCTTACTTAATCTTTATTGCCATCTTCTGGAGGATTTATTTTTATATGCAAATTGGTAATACCAGACCAATAAAAGGGATCTGGAGTCACAGGCCCTTTCAGTGTTTCTCAGCACTGAAGACAATAGATCAAATGTCATAACCACACAGCACCTTAACCTGGGCTATGGAGGCAGTGCACCTCAGAGAGCATCTCAGGAGTAACAGGAAAGCCAAATGTCCAGAAAAACAGCTCCCTATTCACAAGCAGAGGCTTGTATTTTCGCTATTAAAGTTCCACATTATGGAAGACTTTATGATATAAGGCTTTGACCCATGACAAAATGCAGGTACCACTGGAAATAGTAATATTTGAAACTAATTCAGTCAATGCTAGTTTAGCATAAATGAGTTTGGAACACTTTCCTATTACGATGAATGGGGTGCAGAGGTGAAGAACGCAATACGTGAGTGACATGAATGTCACATCTCTGACCATCACCCATTACAGCCCTGCTGCCCAAAAGGTATATATAAAAGGACCACAATTTGGGGCTGGAACTACCTAGGGAAGGTGAGACCAAGCTGTGAATTCAGGGAATTCACTAAGGGAATGACTAATATGGCAGCCAAGGAAGTATGGCAACCGTGCTTTGTAAGCAGCTCACATGTAGGAATCTGATCGCAATCCATACAACAAGTTGAACCCCATACAACAAGTTGAACATTGCTAGAAAACCGTCAATGGCAATGATCAACTTTTAGGTGGAAAGTCTAACAGCTAACACCAGAGAGGACTGTCTGCAGAGAGTAGCACCCCAGCCACCTAGCTGCAGCCTTTGAGTCCCAGGCTGTGAAAAATAGCACAAATATTTATTCTTAGAGAGTTCTGCAAGTTTATTCTGATGAGAGAACAGACTTATAACAGTGCATCTCAACTTCCTTACATCTTGCTATAAAAAGAAAATCATGGTATTTTTATCCTGAGAAGAAATGGATGAAGCTACTCATAGCAAAGGCTCTGACCACTCAGCACATCTGCAACCCTCCACCTCCACGTGACAGATAGGAAGCTCCAGCCTGCAGAAGAGGCTGAAGCTTGGTTCTCTAAATGTGGCCTAAAGACAGAGCCAGAGGGAAGGAAGTAAGAGGATTCTAAAACTCAGACTCAGAGTCAGTGATGGATCTAGTGTAACTGAGCTCTACTTAGAAGGCAGATGGCTTTGATTATGCAAAGAAAAGACTTGAAGAAGACACTGAAATGAGCTGAGCAGGGGGAAACGAGACGGAGCAAACAAGCTTGGGAAGTCAGAAAATTGAGACTGCATAATTTTACCTTGGCTCAACAGTTGGAGTGTTCCCTTTAAAAATAAAACATAATCATATTGTTCAAGCACTCATTCATGCAACAAATATCATTGAATCTATACCACATGATTAATATAGTTTCAGCACTACAGACATACCCATGTGCAAAACAAACACTGTCTGGTCTCTAACCTATGAGCTTGAGTCTACTGAGGAAGCTTGACATTAAGTAATAAATTGAAATCTTTTCTCACACATTATAGTAAGTACTATATGGGAAAAGGACTGGATACTTGCTCCGAAAGAGAACAATAAAATCAAGAAACTAAGTAGTCTAGATTAAGAAATTTAAAAATGACCTTTTTGAGAAAGTTATATTAAGGTATTCTAAGAAGACACAGTAAGAAAACATTAGTAATTTTTTAAAAGTATTTTAAACATAAACAAAGTTTATTATTACATATTACATATACATACAATATTGTATATTTTTTATTTTGTGTGTAGTAATACATAGTAATATATACAGATGCAGGATTACTGTACAATGGCTAATGGCAGACAACCAAAGCCTACTTTAAAAAACTGCTTATACTATGAAATGTGACCCACCATTACCGGACTCTTAATGACTTTTCTTCTCATATAGAAAAGCAGTTAATATTTCATAAAAATATTAAAGACTCAGAGAAAAAGAGGGAAAAGAAGTTGCCAGATTGAACTTCTAAATGTATATACTTTTATACATATGTGTTTCTACAAAAGAAATATATAATCTTGGTTAATCTTTATGCAATCTTAATCTATAACAGCTGAAATTTGGGCAAATAAATAGTCTTCATGTTCAAGGGCAGAGTTTTTAAGCTTATAAAAACATTCTGAGCATTATTGGATGTACCTAGACCTGAGAAGATACAAATGTAATTGCAAATATTTACAGAATAAGCAGAGAAATTCATTCTGGTATAATATACAGTCCAATTTAAAATGTAGTCAATTCCTAAAAGAGGGTAAAAATTCTAAACTTTGAAATGATGCAACAGGTTAGTGGGCTAATTTTGTTTTTTTATACAACAGTTTGTGAGCATCAAGAAGGAAATATAAAGTGAGACTCTAAGCTGCCAGTTACATATTGTGTACAATTTGTGAAAATTCACTCAGTGTACACAAATGATTTGCACAAACTTTTCTGTTTGTATATTATATGTCAATTAAAACTGGCTCATTTGTTGTTTTTGTTTTTAGTTTGGGGGGGAAAATCAAATTCAGGGAAACTTTATGAGGGACACCAGAAAAAAATCCTAAAAGGAAAGCTTAGAGTAACTTTTACAAAATTAGAAACTAGTTGGTAAGACAGTTCCAAACATATTACTTATTTTAAATAAATATACAAGGGGGGATGTACAAGAGGTGCACAAAAGCA